TGCCTTGCCTCCTCAAAGTTTCAGTATATGTGTTGGGGCTCTCCCAGATGCCTGTTCAAGCCCAAATGTTCAGTTAGCTCCCAAACAAACAGTGATAGCATTAAAAGCTTTTTCTGGCCCTCATCTTTCCTTGGCACTGCATTAGAGACCAATAAAGACTGTCGCCCTGTGCTTACCTTGCCACCTCAAAGTTCAAACAGACGATCTGTGTCTCTCCCAGAGGCCTGCCAGAACACAGCTCCAATATTGCAAAGATCCAGACATAGCTCTCACACAATAAAGTGCTAATATTGAAACCTGTCGCTGCCCTCATCTCCCCTTGATTCTGCCTTCACAGGCCCACAAAGACTGGAGCTTGGTGCTTGACTTATACCCTCAAAGTTCCAACATATTAGCTGGGTCTCTGCTGGATGCCTGTCAGAGCCCTTCTTCAATATGGGAAACATCCAGAAATAGCTCCCATACAAAAAGCGCTAACACTGAAAAATGTTGCTGGCCCTCATCTTCCCTTGATTCTGGGCATCACTGAAAAGTCTGGCTCCATCCTCTTGACACTCACCCTTAAGATATTTATAAGCATTTATAAATTCCCCTCTCAGGCTTCTCTTCTTCAGGCTAAACAAGGCCAGCTCCCTCAGCCTTGCATCATAGGAGAGATGCTCCAGTCCCCTCATCATCTTCATAGTCTTCCACTGGACTCTCTCTAGTAACTCCTCATCTTTCTTGAACTGGGGAGCCCAGAACTGCACTCAGCACTCCAGATGGGGCCTCACTAGGGCAGAGTAGAGGGGGAGGAGAACCTCCCTCGACCTGCTGGCCACACTCTCCTTAATGCACCTCAGGATGCCATTGGCCTTCTTGGCAACCAGGGCACACTGCTGGCTCATGGTTAACTTGTCTTCCACCTGGACACCCAGGTCCCTCTGTGCAGAGCTGCTTTGCAGCAAATCAGTCCCTAACCTGCACTGGTGCATGGGTTCCTACCACCTATCTGTTTAGCAGACATCACAGACTTGGGGAGGCAACACAACTGAAACTTAATGTCAAAGCCAGCTGATAGAAGAGGTTGCTGATAAACCACAGAAACACACCAGTGTCCGCCAATAACAGGAACTAGTAAGGCTGGGCTGCTGAGACCTGCATCCACTCTGGATCTCTTTGGCTGCTGGTTGCAAGCAATCTGTTATTTTGTTTTTATATGTCAAGAGACCTAAATCTATGGAAAAACTGCAGACATGTAGTTGCAGGCAGGAGGAATTGCAACCTATGAAATAATGACTGAAATAGACACTGAATCATGGTTGTTGTCAGCTGCCCACATGCTGTCCACACAGTGTTAATAAAGATGCAGTGGGAATGGATAAGAGGTTTAAAGAAAGTCTTACAGCAAAATGCTCCAGGAAATTAACTCAATTTACCAAAAGAAAAGGGAAGGATGTAGTAGGGAACTGGTCAAAAAAGGATCTTCAGTCACATAAAGCTACTGCAAGAAGCTGCCTGTTACCAGAAGCAAAAACTAAACACACACAGAACTAGAAACACAGCGTGTATTTTTCACCTGTGAGACAAGTGACTTTCAAGCACAAGTGTGAGCAGTGCATTTTCATAAATCAGGAGCGGATGTTTTACAAAAGATAGTTTCCTATCAAGCACCCTTGTATTGAACTTCAGGAGGGAAATGTTTCAGGGAAATCCAAAGACCTGTGGTATGCTGAGATAACTTAAAGCAATCATAGCCATGTCTTCTGGCTGTAAAAACCCATGACTCAACTTCTAAACTTACCAGCTATGTAGAATTGTGCAATATTTATTCCTGTTTATAGCACAAATAAAGCAAACTAAGCATTTTGCGCTACTATCTCAGTGTGTGCAACTACTTCTTAGATACCGTGTAGCTACCACTGTGGCAGGAAAGGCCAGTTGCTGATTAAAACTTGCTAGTCAGAAACAGGTCTTCTGGGGTCTACTCCATGCTCTGCCCTACATGCAACAGAGCAAGTAATTCTGGGTGGGCAAGCCTGAATTTGTTGTCTACTCTCTAGCAGGCTAAAATTAGCATGCTGCAGGTAAACAATTTTCTAACAATCTTTCTACTAAGGAGGCACCTCCAATCAGAGCTGATGTCCCACATTTCATTGGTCTTCTTCAATTTCCCTATCTGTAAAATGGGGATTGACTGCAAAAATAATGGGTAGCTTCATGTGGGATGACTATGAAATATCTGTGCTTTGTTTCCAGGGGCAGCGAGAATCATTGTATTATTGCAAGGGATATTTGGCGGTTGGGGGAGGGAATGTCTGAAAAAGAGTCTAGAGGAGTAAACTCCCACTGCTAAAAGAGGAAAGCATGGGAGGTCAGTGATGAGAGCTGGGCTGGCTGCAGAGATCTAAATCCTCACTATCACCAATGAGCCCAAAGGGTCAAGAGTCTTCAGCAGGGAAATGCCTGCCCTGTCCCCTGATTGATGGTCTCTCTCCATCTCAAGGCCTCCTTTTCTCCTTAAGGAGAGATTTTTTTTGAATCTGCCTGGGGAAAAATCATTGGGGTCTGTCCTGTATTTGTGACAGTCCTTTAGGACAACCCTGCCCAGTTCCTTTCTCAGTAGTACTAAAGGTGTTTTACAGCTGGAGTGCCCTCTCCTGTGACCAAACCCAGGAGGAAGGGCTGAGACACCAGAACATCCCAAGTTACTGCCAGGACTTTCTGAAGGGGCTGTCTCCCACTTCAATCTTCCAGCCGATTGATAATCACTGCTATTGGGAAAGAGAGCAAGGAAGCTCGAGTTGGAAGAAACAGGCTAAATTCCCTTGGACTGCCCAGCAGCAACAGCCATCCAGCCAAGACACGTCATTGGTTGTCAAAACCGTTAGGCATGGGATGATGCACATCAAACAGTAATATCTATCACAAAGCTGAGTGCATGACCCACTTCAGAGAGAGATAATGCTTTCACTTCCATCTAGGAGTGATCCTATGAATGGACACTGTACTTTAGTAGCATGACTTAGAAGATACCTCTGTGCAAGTCATAGCTAAAGATGTAGGGGAGGAACCCACGACCCAGGCACAGGAAGGCAATTTTCTGGTGGATCGTGACTGGTGGGACATGGAGCAAGGAGTGGGACAGCAATACGCATATGCAGACACCCTGGGAGAGTAAGCACTTTACTATTTGCATGTATTTGCTTCCTTTCTGGTGCCAGTGTTACTTTTAACCTCCTTACCTCTTTCCACGGCCTCTCCTGGAGTTGAATCAGACTACTAAAATCAGCCTTCAAAGCCACATAGTCAATTCCCCAAACCTCCCACCAACACTGCTTGTATCCCAGGTGCACAGGCTAGAGCAGAGGGAACATGCAAGAAAATAGCCATCAGCCTCTCTTCCCATATTTCATTTTCTAGATACTTGACTATGCAGATCATTATCATATGAAATCTGAGGCAAGAGGACATTTGCTGTAACCCTGGGGAAGAACAAGAGTTAGGGCTGGCATGTTGGATATATTGCTTCAGCTTGTTGCATTTTTTGCCTTTTGCATTGAAGTTGTGCCTATTTTCTTTTTCTTTTTTTTTTTTGTTTTGTTTTGTTTTGTTTTATGTCTTATATGTTATGGTCTCCGATCCGGTCCTATTCCAGTGTTGCTACACAACTGCATGCCTTGACTCATGCAGTCATCACTGCTTACGGGTTGCAGCAAAAAGAAGATGTACAAGTCTTAAATGTACTTCCTCAATAACAGGAAGTGGTCTCACCTTCCACATTTTTGCTGAAACTCTTTAGCTGGGGGGAGAGAAAGGGAATCAGTCTCCTGCAAAGGGTATAAAATCAGTTGTGATTCCATGCCTGTGTTTCATATGACACAGAAAGGACGCATATTTTAGTAGTACCCTTTTCCAAATCACACATGAATGAGAGAAATTATATTTCTCAAAGTGGAGGAGCTTCATTTCTCTACACAGAACTTTGTGCTTATTCATACCAGTTTTTTGAGACATACAGCATTAGATACTGAGTTAAGAAATAAAATATAGATGTTCTTGTTCAGTTTTATTTTATTAGCACAAGAAGCTTTCTTTTCTATTGAGAAAACACACTGCAGGCTGTCGAAGTTAGTACAAGCAACAAATGCTGGGAAAAATAAACGAAAATTGTTATTAACAAAACTACTACTCTTAAATTTCCCAAACCTCACTTTTGCTTTCATTTTATCAATGACTGTCTTAAGTTTAACCATAGTCCAAGTACTTGGACCTATCCACCTCTAAACAAAACAGACAAAACTCAGTTGTTTCTAACTAATCTGGAACATGCCAATTACACTTAACTGGCTAAATCTGAAGATTCCCCTTAGAAGCTGTCAATTAACCCTTCTCCACAACTTTTACCATTATACAAAGTATCCTTTTCATCTCCCCAAAACAGAAGAAACTATACACAAAACCCTGTAGCTTCAGCAATGAAACAAATCAAGCATAAGCACCACTAAGTCTGTACTCATTGCTATTATGCTAAGCAAAACATTTGTCTGTACATATGAATGACATCAAACTCTGCTGGAAGAGGCTAAAACAAACCTTGCTAGATTTATGTAGAAAATACATAGGTTTGTGTTGGTACAAAATTTTCATCTCCTATGAATCAGGAATCTCATTTCACATGAACTTGGTAAGAAAGTGAAAAAAACCCATCAGCTATGTGAAGAAAATATCCTGCTTCTACCTTCATTGTGATTAGGACATTCACAGTTGTAATGAAAATATTTAACGCTTGTTTTAATCAGATTAAAAACAATGCATAACCTTTAAAGATTACATTTTTATATCATCAGAGTCACCTATTAAAAATAGGAAGAATTTTAAAGATACGGCTTGCTTATTGCTCGTGATACTATTTTCATTGAGTAAGTGAACCTGTGATTATATTGTTTTGACCAGGAGAGAAAAAGCTAACAGAAACATGAATACTGATGCTAAGATGAATTTAAAAAAATCTTAGAAAAATAAACTTGTAATAAAGTTAACCTAGAGGGTTGTCAAGTAGACTTTGTCTGCAAGATCAGTCACAATCAAATTTGTTTTTAAAGTCCAAATAGACCATGGGTCAGCTCTGATGGAGAGGGTGGGTGTCTTATTTTATCCATTTCTGAAAGTTCATTGAAAAGGGACATATGTAACAGGAAAGTATCATTAGCTTTACACCCCCCCAAACTCTCCTGGGTATCTGCTCAAACAGCAACACTGTTGGGAATGTGATCTGGGGAAAGATAGTAGTAAGGAAGCTTTTTGTTCTTGTTGCGCTCAGTGATGGCGTTGACAATCTCATCCAGATTCTTGCGGAATTTTGCCATAGCCTCTTTCACTGGCTTCTCCACGAAGTGTTCATCTGGGTATGTGCCCAGAAACAGCTAATTGAAAAAGACCAAGAAATCATGCTTTGAGAAAGAAAAGGGTATTCTGTTTCAGCATTATGTCATCCAGCAGAACAACACCCAGAGCCTCACAAATGCTGCTATTAAAATAGTACTATCAATATTTAAGCTAGCCTACACTGGCACTGCCAATGAAAGGTGCTGTCCCATTCTTCCTTCACCACTAGCTGCTTCTTTTCATCCCTGCATCTTTCTGTAATGTTGGTTCAGGTGTCTATTTGGCACCTCCTCCACTTGCAGGGAGCGGATCCACTGAAAATCTGAGCACTTTTTTGTCAGGCTAGTGGTCAGCCAGATAAGCTTCCCAAGCCAGATCTCTGTGTAGCCACTCAAACATTTGTGCTGCTAAAGAAAAGGACAGCATGGGAGGGGAATGAACAGCCAGGGATGAAAAAGGAAGACAACTGCTTCTGTCAATGACAGTGGAAGTCTCTGTTGACTTAAAAAAGTCTCTCAAAGTTCAACCTGACAGTTGCTTTAGTCAGCTTGGACTCTAAGGGTGCCCTGAATACCACATTGCCAATATACATACTGGCATATTACCTGCTTTAGGTAACTATTTCCCATGATACTATTTCCCATGATACTACCCATACTACTAGTTTCTCAGCTGAAATCTGCTTTCTTCTCAAAAAAAAGCTTCAAAAGTACTGTCACCTTCCTTCTAAGGATTTCAAAACACATCCTCTGGACACAGTCCCCGAGTGAGACAACCAAGTACCTACAACCTCACTTTACGTGAAGGAAATGGCTATAGACCACTCTTGCAAAGCACCTTGTAGGCTTGTTTTTTTTGCACTGCACAGCACCCAGGCAACAAGCCACAACTGCAGTGCACGTGGCACTGGGGCAGATTTTCCAAAGGCACAGGACATGGGTACACAGCGGTGCTGTAGTTTCTGCACCAGCACTGCTGGGGCAAGGACTGGAGCAAACCCCTGTGCCTCTGCAGCCCTTTTCCTCCCACAGCATCATCCTTACTCAGCAACGACATACTTAAGTTTAGAAACTTTAATTTTGGCTGAAACACAGCCTCAGAGTAAAAATACAACTTCTTGCTCAGAGCTGGTTTATATCTGGCAAAACGAGGGCAAACCCACACCACAGATACATCTCCACAGAAAGGCAAACATGGTCCAGTCAAGCTCAGAGCAGCACTACAATCTCATGAGTCTGTGTGGTCTTGCCATGGCCTTCGTGGTCTCACCTACATCTCCACCACTCAGAGAAGGGAGGTTGACTTACTTCATTGTCCTGGAACTGGCTCAAGGCCCAGACAGCTCCAAGATGCCAACAAGAACGTCCTCTGTCTGGCAGACTCTCCACAATTTGTTCGATGGTGACTGTTCCCTTTTCTGTTGGAGGAGGGCAGCGCATTGTTGGTGGGGCATTGGGAATCCAGGAACACCAGTCATACTGCACAACAAAGCAAGACAGGACAGTGAAAAGCTACAGTGGCTGATATTTAGGAACACTGCAAAAAAAATCAGGAGTCTTGACACCAGGCAGTTTGCTTCTGTAATATGAACCTTTCAGAAAGAGAAGATACTAAAGGGCAGACAGATGCTCTAGAGAAGGACTGAGGGAGACAAGGAAGCCCCTACCATCTTTCTCAGGATCTCACAAGGGAGAGAATTGGGTTGCCTTAATGGGAGCAGTTATTCTGCTAATCACAGGCATGTGCCACACAGCCCAGACTCAGTAGTCAGTCTAAGGACTTATTTAGTTAAACAAAGATCTCTTCTGATAATCTGAGGTGAGTGCTGGTAAAAACCCTGTAACTGATAAAATCTCCTCTTCTCCAGTTGTTCTTTTCTGCAAAATTTTCTCTAAGAACATGCCCCCAGTACTGTGGTCAGGCATTAAGAGAGGCAAAGGATGCTGGTGCATCATGAAGTATGGCATGTGGAGATGTGGCCATGGTGACTGCCAGACTGGGAACTCAGAATAATTTCTGGCCTGCTTCATTGTTGTGGGATGGTGATGTCTCATTTTGCCTCAGATGTGACCCCAAGTTTTGCCATATCTCAGACGCTGCACTTACCATAACTCTTCTAGGCACTTTTTTCATTACCTTCATACATACCCCCTGTCCTGCCTGAGGGAAACTCCCACGTCAGCTCTATGCCATGCTTACACTGTGTTCAATCTGTTCTCTACAGTGTACAGCTATCTTCTCCTACCCTCAGCCCTCTCTGTCCCATTTTTTCCCCATGGCTGAAGATCTTTTTGCTGATGGGCTGAATATCTTCTGCATGCCAAATTCCCCCTCTCATCCTCCAAAGGCTCTCTGCTAAACCGTGGTAGCCTGGACAATATTAAGAGATGGTTTCTTAGTGGTATATGAACAGACAGGATTTCCTGAGGGAGGCTGGGAGATGTCTCAATCACTTGTAATGACAGGTTAGAAGTGATTAGTCGCAGAGGTCCCTGGTCACGGATGTGGCACAGGAATAGTGCGGGTTCATATGACACCTGACTCTAGACCTGCTCCAGGGATGGTGGACAGGAGGGTCAACATGGAGAGTGATGTGGGATGTGTCTGGGAATAATTACCATAGGAAAGATTGTCTCCCTGCTTTTCTGAGATCATTCACGCCTGAAGCTGGAACATGTGTCAAAAAAAAGCTCACAGAATCATAGAATATCTCAAGTTGGAAAGGTCCCATAAGAATCATCAAGTACAACTCCCTACTCCTCTCAGGATGACCTAAAACTAAACCATATGACTTAGAGTATCGTCCAAATGCTCCTTGAACTCCGACAGGCTTGGCACCATGACCACATCTGTGGGAAGCCTGTTCCAGTGACTGGCCACCCACTCACTGAAGAAGCTCTATGTAATACAGCCTGACAAAGAGATTTGCTTCTGTGAAGTCTGCTTTCCAAAATGCCTTGATGCTGGAAGAAACAGCATTTGAAAGGCAGGCTGTTACTATAGTTTCAGGGTAGATACATGTCAGTAAAGGCAGGCAGATATAACCCAGGCTATCAGTACGTGACACATTAAGCATCATAAAAGAAGTTCCAAGTTGCCAGTTGGCTCGCAAATTCAAGAAATGAGCAGCAATGCCATTTCCATGCATTGGGAATATTAAGCACACTGGTGCTTTTGAAAACTCTACCATGCATGACCAAAGCCCAGATCCTCACAGATGTACAAATTTCTGTGTATGTCATTGGGAGTTAAGTGCCTAGATATCACTGAGGATCTGGACTCCGACTTCAGTGAGACTTTACCTTTTAGAGGCTTGTCTGTGCTGCTGCAGAAAGTAGAAGTGGAGGTCCTCCAGACGTGCAAGGCAGCTTTCAACTAGTTAACTCACGACCCTTGGTAAATGCTCCATTAGGCCAGCTAGATCACTGTACTACTGGAAATGAGCTGCTGGTAACAGCCAACTGCACCAGCTTGAAGACAGATGGTGTATGCAGCTACATGTACTGCAGTCACAGCACTGAGCTGTGCCGCACACATTCCCTAAGCCACATCTGAAAATGGGATGTATGCTGCTTCAGCACAGGCACGCTGCCAAATTAGGGCAGCTTACAACAGCAACCCATGGTAGCTACCTGTGAATGCCCTCACCGCAAATGCAAAGCCAAGCCACTTAACATAACTTATTGCATTTCAGATGGCATCTGAAAGGCATGCTAGCCAGACTGTGCACCTGAACCCTTCAGCATTTCTGAAAGAAGTCTTAGCAACCCATTTAAAGTCTTAAAAAAATTGTTCCCCATAATAAAATCATTACAACTAAAATATACAAGCTAGCACCCCTAAATCTGAGCTTTGTTACCTACTTAGGACTCAAAATACCTTTCTCAGCTTCCAAAATAATTCAGTTTCCATAGACTTCATGGGGATTTGCAGATGGCTCTGCAATTATTTTGACCAGAAAGAATAATCTAATGTCTGTGCACCTACTAAAAAACATTTCTCAGATCTTGCCCTGGTAGATGCATCTCCCAGCCCACAAATAAGAGCAGTCTTCCCAGAAATTCCTACCTGACCAAAATTCACAGCTGCATGCTGGGCTGATGTGGTGAATATTACTACCGTGAGATATTCTGCTAGCTTCTCTCGTGTCCTGATCGTCTTAGGAAACCCTAAGCGAGGAAGAAGAAAAGATTAATTACAACAGCTGTGAAGTGACCCAGTTACCTGGTAGTAATCAGCTACTCAAAAGGCATGAGTTAGAGGACCTTGCAGCAGTCACTGAAGAGCAGGGCATTCTCTTTCTGAATCTTGCTACGTGGTCTAACAGGAGTTACTCAACCTCTTTCTCTGTCTTGAGTGTCCAGCCATAAAAACAGAGTGATCCTGCCTTACCTCATACAGGCTTGTGAGGCATCACCACTGTTGGCAAAGTATGTGGTGTTCCTTAAGTGAAAGGCAAAGTATTATTACACCTTTAAAAAAATACTGTGTCTCTGTCCTCCAAGCCTACCTACCCTGCGGCAAGGAACCTGGAGAGTCCATAGGGCACAGAGCTCAGATGTTCCCTTTTTCTTCAGTCTGCAGTGCAAGCAAGGAAGGTTCATGCCAAGGAGTAAATGACCATGTGCTTGTATTTTTAAAGGTTCGAGCCTCAGCAATCAAGCGCACTGTGAGAAAGAGTGCAGGGAGTGCTTATTTGCTGAAACGGGAAGTGAGGAAATGAGAACTTCTGAAAGAGAAACAACAGAATGAGGAACAGAAATAGTTGCATCAAGCTGTCTTTGAAGGGGAATAATACAATTGAGCTACATAAAGAAAGAAGGGAGTAGTCCAGTACTAGGGAAATATTTTTCTACCAAATCATCCCCAAGCCTGTATCTCTCCCACCCCTACTATATCAGAGTCCTGCGCTGTACTCCTTGTCCCAGCCCAATGTGACCACAGGTCCCAGGACACCTAAAGATCTGTCAGCACCCTGGGGCGAGCTAACCATGCTCAGGCTGCCTGTGCCAGCTGCTTCACATCTCCACCACCAACATGATGCAGATATGAACTCATCCTGAGAGAGGGAAGAAGCACATGGTAGCTCTGGCCAGCGACTAAGTCAAAAGAGGAGAGTATGCACCATCCCTTCCTGTGTCCTGCTATCCTAAGCACACTGTGTTCATCTTTAAAGAGGCTTGGCATGCTCCCAGTCAGAGCAGCCCTCTCAGGGCAGGAATGGAGACTGGACGGGAGCCCCGGGTGCAACAGCCTCCCCCATTTATCCTCCTTTCATTCCTTACAGACCCAGCCAAGTTACTCTGTTGTCTGCCCCAGCCCTTGTCGTCACAGCAGTGCAGACAGGGATAATGCAGGCCTGGCAGGTTTCCCACCTGTAGCAGCAATCCTTCCACCAGTGGTGCTTGTAGCATCCTACCCCAGCTGTAGCCCTGGAAAGGCTCACTACTTGTCAGTATCAAGATGCTTAGATCAAGCGGGAAGTGCCTACCAGACCATTTCTAAGCTTTTCCTAAGAGACAGACAGATAAACAAAAATGGCAGCAGCTAGGTGTCCTCCAATCCTTTGCTCGTCCAGGCAGGTAGAGCCCAGGAGTCTGTTATACACCAACGCATACTGGTAATGAGTGGAAACATCACAGTTTTGCCTGAAGATCTCACACACAATCATGTGTGTATGCAATGCCAAAGTCATCTGCCCCAGATCACTAGGTAACAAGTGCTTCCAGATGTAAATCAGTCAGGACAGTATGAAGAATCCCCACCCACCTGTATAAAGTCCTGAAAACCTGCTTGGACAAAATGTGAGTGGAAGAAAATGACATGTTCAGGGAAAGGCAGCAGAGTGTTAACTCAGGTGGGAGACTAGAGCTGTGAGAGAAGACAGAACAAAGCAAAATATTTCTTGGAAAGAATAATGAGCAACTTCTCTTGAAGAAAGAAGCACAGTTCAATGATGACACAGATGCTGAACAAATGCAAAGAATCCCTAGGGAGTTTCTTACTTGTTCTTATCTGGTGCAAGATTTGGAGAAGACGATTAAAGGGGGTCTTGCTGCTCCTTGTGATTTCCATCAGCCTGCCTGGTGGTTCCAACAGCACATACAGACAGCCCCTTCCCTGATGCTTAAAGCATGAGCAGACAAGATCAAAAGACCAACCCCCAGTGTACAGAGAGATTACACAATTTGCCTGAGCTCATGGTAAGAATCTGTGGCAAAGAAAGGAGCTGTATCCTTAGGGAGGGGAGGGCCTAATCCAGGGTCTCACCCATAAAACTGAGCGTCTTTGGGCCGAGAAAGAAGAGGGTGTCCAACAGTTCAAGGCATGCTGTGCATGCAGCATTGCTGTCAGCAGGGACTCAACAAGCTGCAGACCTGGCTGAGCCATCACACATTACCTGAGGCCTTCACACCCCTCATTCCATAGACGTAAATGTCTTTGACGAAGGCCTGCAGCTCCACATCCTCACACACCACCTCGTCGCTCTCATAGTAGAGGTGAATCACATCCTCTGCAAACCTGCAGACACAGGAACAATTGAACAAGACAAAATGAAAAGAAGAAAGCAAGACTGCAATTCCCTGCAGACCTTCTACTGACCTTGCAGAGGAGGCAGATGCTGCACAGTGAAAAAGAGAAGGGCAAGAGCAGGTCTCAGTACCCTCCTACCTCCTTCGCACGAGCAGTGGGAATGCAAAGAAGCAACTTTGATTAATTTCTGACTGCAGCATCACTTCCTCCCCCAACAAAAAGTTGCTGGACCACACACTGCATACCCTGAACAGTCCTGTGCACTTTATTCTCTTGTTTGAGGCTTTGCTCCTGACTGGATCTCTGTCCTCACACGTACATCCCTACCTTCACTTAATACAGACTCCCTCTGGCACATCCACATGTGTCTCACACTGGGAACAGGGGCTCCCAAACTGGGATACCAGCACCAGCTGCTGTATGTGAGATACTGCAAAGCTGTTCCTGAATATAATTCAAATAGCTCATCCCCTCCTACCACACATCCTTTTCACAAAACCAAAGTGGCACACTCCAAAGTAGGGGTGGCCCAGGAAACTTCTCTTGGGGAGAAGAGGTCTAGAACCTTTTCCTACACCCACTGCATACAGCAGACATCTCCCTGTTCAGTTCCTCTTCTCAAAAATCCCTCCTTCTATACAAGCTTCCCAGGCTAATTCACCTCACAAAGACAGGCTCTTAAACACTAAGATAACAGAAATAGTTCTGAAAGCAGTGAAAACAGCAAAGCCTGGTCTCCTGCAGATTTTCATCTTATGACTGAATGACTGTTTAACTGAGCTATGCTAAGATATTGTTAGCTCTGCAGGTACCTATAATCTCTTGCTAAATATTTTTACAACAATCCATAGGGTGAAACACTTGACTGTGGAAGCTCACTGATAGGCTTAAGAATTGTTATCCAATGCAGATTTATCCCCTAATAAGCCATAAATTTATTTCAATTTGGATACTTTTACAAATCTGTCAATGTGGTTTCTATTAGCCAACTAAGTGAAGAGTTGTTTCCGAGGTAGATAAGCAACTGCACAGTCATCAAGAGTTTAAGTAATTTTGGCTTCCAGAGGGAGCCAAAGGAGAAGAAAAACTTGTAACATGCAGCAATAAAGATGCTCTGCATGACCTCTGCCTCCCTCACCCGGCACCGGTGCCAAATGCACACAGAATGAAATCCATCTCTTACACAACTGTAGTATTTCAGACCTCCTTCCATGCAAATATAAAACAGTATACGAAGTGTGGATGAGGCCTTTTGGGTTGTAATTTCTACTCACAGATCAGAAATAGAAAGCTGAGTGTTAGAGAAGGGGGTTTAAAAATTTGTCATGTTACCCCCAGTGTTTCTTTAGGGAAATCCTTATCAGCTTTCTTAGGTCTAGGCCATCTACCACATGTGAAGCAATGCTGGGGATAGAAGTTATTTCAGCAAAAGAGTGGAGACTGACAGCCCTGCAGAGCATAGGAGATTCATGGCAACTACATACATGCATGGCAGTGGGTTCATGAGTCAGGATATCACACACTCAAAAGGGTACTGTTCATGCTATTTATAAACCAAATAATTCACCTACAAAGAATCTCTCGGCCAAATCTGAGGCAGTGTAACATCTTCCTCCAGCTAGGTTAACACCCACAAACAGTCAGAGTAAATTGAGTTGACTAAATACTATCTGGTATTTGAAAAGGCATACCTCAATCAGCAGAGAAAACACGGGAAAGAGAAGAGGGACAAAAAACAGACTACATCAAAAAAACAACCACAGAAAAGGTTATAACTTCCTTTTCTCTGAAATGGGCACTCACAATTGCAGGAAATATTGCAAGATAACCCCTTGCCAAAACACAGAAGATAAAGATGTACTGAACTCTTTAAACATTATACTTGCATTATAAACCCCTCTACTTTGTGTACACAAAAGATCTGATTTTAATGAATGTGCTTTTCAAAAGCCACGTGACCAGAAACAGCTGCATACTTAGCAAGAAACTCATGCCATGCAAAAACACCTTTGTTAAATGCAATGCCACTGCAGAATGAATCATTCAATTCTGAGGCAGTGTTTCATATCTGAAAAGAAGCCATGTTTGTATATTAGAGCAGCCTTGCAGTACCTCTCCTGACTCAGAATTTCTGCCCTTCCTGACAAAACTTGGGCCTTGCAATTTTAAGGCATTTAAAAAAAAAGGTTTTGCTCAAATCAGTTAATGCCTAATTTATCTGGTTTCTTAACAAAACTCTCTCAGGCAAGCTAAGCTTACATTTCCACTCCACAAGAACCCTGATGCGCTCATGTGGCTGGCTCACAGAGCTGGGTTCTCTCTTGATTTGTTCTTAGCAAAAAAAAAAAAAAAGAAAAAAGAAGAAGTCATATCTCTGTGACAGTGGACAGTGACTTTATCAGCCATTTCTAGGACTACAGTCTCTTACCTCTTTATAGCCTCCCAGACTTTAATGCCGTCATCCCGGTAATAGTAGTAGGGGATATCCTCTTTGCTGTCCATCCCTTTAGCTTTGATCTCCTCAGGGAAGCAGAGGGAGCTATAAGTCAGATCCTTCATTGCTTTCTGTACCATTTGTACATGTCCTCCTCCGCCTGTAGCATTTGCCTGCAGGAAGAACGGCAAGACAGGAACAGTAGGAGATCATCTTCACTTTGTGCCAAGACTGGCTTTCCAAATTCACAGGAGATTGTACTCAAAATGCTAGTGAATTCGTTTTTCAAGGAGAAAACCACACCTCTACACAGGTACCAAACTGCAAAGGTTTACTGCAACTGTGTATTTTGACTTCAGAGGTTTCACACCTCGCCCATGAATCACTGTTAATATTCACATTTTCTCCACAGGTACAGCACCTGCTTATAATGGAACACAGTAATAAAGTACAGCTACCCAAACAACCCAAAGCAACCCAAAGCACCTTCTGCCAGCCTTAAGCTCCAGAACTGGCGTGTGTGTGAAGGAAGGCAGCCAGCAGTGTACTAGAACAGGGCTTTTTCTAAGCCACCCACTGCTGCTACAGAGTGGTTTAGGAGAATGTGTTCAGGGATGCAGGCTGCTGTTAGCCACCCTGGCATTTAAGCCAGGAGATCAATGCTGCTGCGTGGCTACTGATGAGGACTGTCCAGGATTTCAGTATATGTTGTATCTGGAGAACACAACACACCGACAATAAATGGCACGGCAAAACTCTTTAGATAATCACTACACTAAACCGTCCAAATTTTGATTTTCTAACACACTATGCTAGTGTTGCAGCGGTATTCACCTTACGCTTACTCACCTCTGGCTAGTTGTTCATCTACATTGGGAACCAACAAATTCTGGAACTCCAGGATCCCTGCTGGCAGGTCTTAGCCACACACCCATCATACATGCACAAAGTATGGACATTAGGCTTCTATTCAAAGGGATGGGAGTGTCTGCCAGGTCTCCACAGTCAGCAGTGGAATACAGAAGACAAGGAAGGTGTCTACATTTAACCTCTCTTTTCTCCTTGGCTGAAAAAATCTGGAGCATGGTAGCTATTTTTGGTCTGGTGACCGAAGTGTAAGGGGGATAGAGTTGTCCTGAAACATGGGTTCCCTTTTTCAAAGGACTTCTGAAACAAACTTCCCAGTTGCTGTCAGCATGTTGTCACAGAGACTGCTGCATGCCAATCCATTGCAGTTCCTAGATGCAGCGCGCCGTTTCTGAGGGAGCCAAAGGAGGAAAAGCTGGGTACATGTTAAATCCCAGTGCAGTCAGATTTAGATGTTCAGATGTGACCTAAGAGCTGCACTGCAGTCCATGATATAGAATTATGTTTCATTGACTCAGGCAAAGATGAATTTTAATCCTAGCAGATCTGCAGATCTGCTTTTTATGGCAATTCAAGAAGACAGGCTGGAATCTGCACCCAGTATTTGTGGGCTTAGAAATCTATCTTATCTACACATCTTCCTCAGATGCAAATTTGCTTTTGCAATCACAAATTCTTTTGCTCACCATCCTGCCCGTAGATGAATAACTGGGTACTTGCAAGAAACTGGGGACTTCACTGTGTGCATACATGTGCAGGGATGTATGTGCATGTTGTGTTACCTTGCACTCCTATACTCATACCCCAAAACCACACCAGCTATGAGTAAGTGAGATTCTGACTCATTACTGACATTGGCTAGTTCTGAGCTGGCTACTTAGAGGTAAAAGATACCATCTTTAGCACAACACGACATGAGTTAATTTAAGGCATCAGTTTTGAGTGCCATTTCCTCAGGTGATATTAGTTACATTTGTCCTTTAGTAGAAAAGTAAAAAAACAAGGCAATATTTGGTGGTTAATGGATAAAAATATACATGGAACCATGAAGAATAATGCAGATCTGCAAAGGGGCTTACTTACCTTATCAAAAAGGCCACATTCACAGATAAGCTGTTCTCGGGCTTTGGTATTGATGGCTATTGTGAACCGCATATGTGGCACCAAGAGCTGTCAAATGGGACAAACAATGAAAGAAGGTAAATTCTCTGACTGAATTCAACAGCAATCAGGTGTAAAGTTTGAAGTCCCGGAAGTCCTGGTATCTGAAGTGTATGTTGCCTTGCAGGGTAGCCAGCCAAACTATCTCAGTTGAGCTACCACCAGGACTTCCTTTCGGTTTGTCAAGCTAACGTGATAACCTCGCTGACCCACATACATTACTTCATGCAAGAACCAACCTTGAAAAGGGGATGTACAGCAGGCAGCTGACGGAACATAGCTATGCTGAACACCTCTGAGACTAAGTGTGTCCGTAAGAGATGGGTAACTGTCTGGTGGATATGGAAATCAGATGAGCGAACCCAGATTTTAGCTAGCAGCCAGTCATATGTGGCATCTGAAGGAAGGAATATGGGATTGTCTGGCCCAGGCTTTTGACCAAGCTGAAAGATATAAAAGAATACAAAACTCCAGGTCGTTCATATTTAGATGAGACAACAAGTGATTCGTCCCTTTAAAGACCCTGACAGTAAACTCACCTGGATTGCAATGGGTACAATCTTATTCTCCAGATTCTTATACAGCAGACAGATGGGTGCAGCCAAGTACTGTATAGTGCATGGGTCTGTTTTATTGGCATCCACACCATCCAGCAGCTCGTAGTCCACAATGAAAATGTTTCCTTGCTGCGGGGAGGGAGGGAAAAAATCTTGATGTGTTTTAACAGAGTGCAAGCAGTAAGGCTCGGAATCAAAGGTCAGGAAGTCTTTGTCAGAGGCTGGCTTGTGCTCTGTGGTTACACGTGGCCACTGGCCGGTCCTTGTTCATGGTGTCTCAGGGATGCCATTGAGACACCTTTACACAAACTACGTGACTTGTGTCTGTTGAGCCTGATAGTAAGCCTTTCAGCAAAGAGTGACTATGTATTTGGCATGCATGCAGTGACAGTAAGATGCAAACAAGTTTCATGCTGCCAGGTGAAGGGACCCCCGTGCTCATCGTAAAAATAAAAGCAAGGCATCATGCTTGCCAACTCTTGTTCAGAATGTTCGTTCAACCCTATGGGTGATAACAGAGTAAGACTCTATCAGGAAAGGGAGAGGCACTTTTCCTGTCTGAGGCAGTTGGTCAATCCCTAATCTTTCAGAAGAAACCACTGAAAATGGACCCTTCACCTCCTGGTGACATCTCTTTAACTGGATCTGGAGAAAGGCATGACCTGTAGCTCCAGGATGGCAGGAGAAAACAGTCAGCAGAAGTGTTGCCAGTCTGCAGAGACAACCAGCTTTACCATGGTCAACCATACAGCCTGAAGAAAGACACGACTGAAGCCAGCTAGAACGAGGTTTGGAGGTTAGAGGATATGAGAAGAAACAGATGAAGTCCAGCTTCACTCAGAGCCATACCTCCACTTCCTCCTCCAGGGTCAAGTTCCTCTCCAGACTGCACTCTACCATTTCCATAGTCACAGGCAACTTCTTGGGTATCTCTGTGCATCTCTGGATCAGTACAGGATTGCATCCATTCAGGAACTGGTAGCCAAACATAAAATCTTCCTTCCAGTGCTGCATCACGTATTCTAAAGGCAAAACATGCCTGCTGCATCAATATCTGCACTGCATCAATATCCCACTGCATTGTAGGGTTTCTCCTTTCCTCCTGACCTTTTGTTAAGCTGCACTGCAACTTTGACTAAAGCAAGTAACAAGAAAAGGATTCAAAAGGTGCCATAGAATTATAATAAAAAAACACTAAAGTTAAATGGGCAATGTAATATTTGCTTTTCACTTTGAGAAAATGAAATTGATAATAATTTGTTTCTCCAAGCACAGAAGCAATGAGGAGGAAAACATTCCACTCCTATGAAAAACACTCTCTTCATCTGCAGATCACCTTCTTGGATCTTCCATGAAATTTTTAAATCTCGCTCTTCAAATTCTCAGGGTATGCAGTACAGAGATATGAATCCAAAAAAGATGGCCCAGGCAGGAGAAGGGAAATACAGAGCAACACGTACAGGGAAAGAAGAGCAGTGTCTGAAGCAGTTCTCTCAGCTGCAGCTGGGTGAGGGACACCTAGGGAAGGGTTTTGACTTTGACTCAGTAAAACTGCTAATTTGTTGGTTTGCCTGTTTAACTTTTTTCCCCTTTGTTTATTTTTCAGTTGCTAATATAAACCCAGATTAACATCTCTTCTTAAAATGCTAGTTTTGGGTACTCCATCTCTTTACTATTATGTATGTAGTACTACTGAATGTTTTCCACAATTGCAGTGTTCTGTTTCACAGTGTCATGTCACCACTTCAGCCTACAAGTTCAAAGTTAGTGAAAACATGATTAATGTGAAAAATTCCATTCATATCCCCAGGGGAAAAATGAGCCAAGTAATGTTTTGCACTATTGCCTGTTTTCACACAAGGCAGAACTTCTTCTGAAAGCAATTTGTTTTTCTACAAAGGGTGAAAAGATGAAAAAGACAGGCCTGAATAAATACAGTGCAGTGATAATTAAAAAAAAAAACCACAAAAGGCTTAAAACTCATAATTCTTTCTAACAGAGTGGAAAAAAGTTTATTTAAAGTTGACATTTACATCATCTCTGTTTATTGCATAATGACTCTGGAGCTGTATCTCAAGTCTACACCAAGCAAAAATTTACTCACCACCTTGCATAGAAACTGCATGACAGAAAAATGCCTTTAACTACCTTCTCCATTAGGCCTGTTTCTGCCAAGGTTAGCAAATAAGCAGAATCACAGTTGCATTAATATAACTGAGACTGATGCTTAACATTTAAAAATCACAGAATTGGCGTATTCCATGAGCAAGGAAATGTTATCAATGAAATTAATGGTAGATTATATCTAATTCCTCTGTTAAAAGTACTTTAGGAAGCAATCTTATTAAATGTAGCAAATTGCTTTGATAATTTTTTAATAGCACTGGCCACCTTGTGTGCTTTTTTATTTTTTTACACCCAAGATGGCAGAAATTACTCTTATTTCTCTTAACTGGTCCTTAGGCAGCCTGAAGAGGAGCAAAACTTCAGAGAAGGAGGGAAAAGTATTTTCCTTTGCAGAGTCTGAACAGGCCATTCACACACATTGGAGGAACCACACGCTAACCAGCTTATAGTATCTGTCTATTATATCCAATAAAACAGTAGAATAAAGTAAAATAATGTAGCCACACGTGATAGCAGAAGGTTGGATCTGGCTCACAAATCAAAGTTTTTCCAGCCCTTCTTTACGGAAAGGACAGTGTGAACTTCAAAACCCATGTCTGTCCGTAATTCTTTCTACTGGGTTTTCAAGTAACTGCTAAGATTTCCATACTGAAGAAGTGTAAAGAGAAGAAGTATTTTGTCTTTAATATCTTAATACTACATTAATGGAGTTTTTATGAGTATGAAAGATTCTGCAGAAACTGAAAGGCCCCGAATACAAAAGTGAAACTCACACTCTTAGAGAGAGATTTTTCTTCTTTTCCTTCTGAGTATGAAATGGCAAGCGCAGCAGCACATTTAATGCAGTATGCACAACTGGTTTCTACATATTTTTGAAAAGAGATTACACTTTTTATAAACGCCACATGTTTTTCAGGCCTAACACACTAATATCCAGTAAGAACCATGGTTCCTCAGGTTGTGATCTGATTGCCCATCCTGGCTGGAGCAGGACCAGCTGAAGAAGTTACAGCTCCCAGGTCATTTGAGGTCTTTGCAACCTGTTACCAGATCTGTTGTCCTAACAGCATGGGATCTCACGCTTGAAACAAGTTCTGACAAAGTGACCCCTGTTGGGAGCAATTTACCACTGAGCAGCATGTCATTGACACAAATGGCCCAGGAGAACTGACTGAGGGGAGATACAGGTGAGGTTATGACAGCAGAAATGAGGCCATGGCACCTTCCCTGTGTCAGGACAAGGATGAGAAGCCAGGGCCTTTAGCAGAAATACAACCAGGACTGAGCACACGGCTGGGATGTTAGGCAACAGCCTTTGATCTTGTCTGTGTAAGAGGCTAGGAAACCATACTTGCTTTTAGCAGAGAACATTTCTAAACATGCCTCTGCAGATATCCTGTGTATTTCGATGGTTGAAATGGGAGATATATGGTCCAACTTTCAAAAACGCCTTAACAGCTAACATGCTCTGAAAAGCACTCCAACTAAGCTATCTCTAGGTTTAGATGTTGAAATACTTCTGAAAATTTGTCTTATGGGACTTGCACATATTTGAAAACACATTTCTAAAAGCCAAAAGGGACTATAATGCCCAAGTGGCCTGACCTCCCGTATAGCTTAGGGCAGAGAAGGTCACTGAGCAATTCCCAGTAATTTTAGTTTCTGTGAGATCATACCTTCCTTTTCAGTCTTCTGGGCTTTTTGTGTGATGAGCAGTCTGAGATTACATGTTATTTATAGCAGAAGTGTGGGTCAGCCACTTCCATCCTAATCAGATATGTTCAAGGCAACTAATTAGTCATTCTACAATGCAAACACGGCCAAATGCTGACAAACCCACCAGAGATTGTGTTGCTGATTCTGACAAAGATCCTCTCAAAATCTGCAAAATCATTCCATGAAGACTGGAACATATGCATGAAACGGTTGATATAAAGATTCTCCATCCTAAAAACAAAACGAAACAAATCATCTATGAAAAAAATCAGCTCCAGTTTCCTCAATATCCATATCCACTCTTTTGCAGCCTTTTATATCCCTAAACATAATAAATTATTCAGTGGTGGAATGTGAGATTGGTCACACTACAGAATCAAATTTGCTGACTGTAGCTTTACACGCAAGCCTGAAAGGCATTTCAAGGGCCCAGTCCCTGCTGTTGCATTTATTGAACTCCATTCTAGAGTTGCTCTAGGCAGCCTACAATGGCAGTGCTTTAAGACCTATGTCATATAAAAAAACATAGTCAGAAAAACTAGTGCTTCACACATTGTCAGTAGTTAGCATCTGCTGAGTATGCTAAGATCATCGTTACCACCAAGTCAGAGAGGGTTACTGTGACATAAAGAGATTGAGTGATTTGCATGAAGTCAGAGCAAACACAACCCAGCATCAGTCCAGCCAGTATTCCGAAACAGAGAACAGCTCCTGTAAGTGCTCATGTGACTGAAGCCAGACTGGATCCCTACAATGCGAGGCCTGAGTTTTTGAGAGCTTTCTATTTACTTGGACAGCCGGTTAAACTTGACACTCATTTCCAACCTCCAGAACCAAGTCACTTGGTTGCAGACATCACATGAACATGGGGGGCTGGTAGCCAGAAACATCTGATTTAAAAGTGCTAATTCAGCAAAATATTTTGTCTACAACACAGTCAAGTAAGTTCACCTCATACAAGATGAAGTCCTAAATTGTTACACAACTGCTAAACTGTTATTATTAAATAAAAATCATTTATTTTGACTAGAAACCAAATAATTGGTTTGAAAAAGAAAGTTGGCTTTCCACTAGCACTTCGAATCCGCAAAGAAAAGCACACGCATTGCACCAAGATAAGCAGGGCAGATAACGGAGCAAGGAAAGGTCATGGTGTCATAGGAAATCTTCCCTAACAGAATCTGAGGGAGGAAGAATCCCAGGAGAGTGGATTCACAGTAAGTCAACTTGAACTGAGGCACCTTAAAAAGAACTGGATTAGAAGTGGCCGAAGAGGACCAAAAGCCTGGAGAAACAGCAAGTGGTAATCTAGAGGAGGGCTCCAGAACAGCATGACCATAACCCACACAAAGGAGCTGCTTTTGCACTGAACCCAGACAAGCTGCATGTAGAATGGAATGTTTCTGCTGCTGCAGATGGCAGTCAAGGCAAGTGGTGCCTGGAAGCATGTTAAGAAGTAAAGCTCACACATCTGTCTAGGCTGGAACAGGAGATGACTTCTCCAGAGGTCTCATCACACCTGACAGAGACACAGAGGGATTTTACATGGATCAAAGGGAGGGTAACTATGGGGCAGGACCTTCTGGATAGATACTAGGTGTCTGAATCACAGATGAACTTCCAGAGGAAGCATGACCATGACCAGAAGTTTGAATTATTTTAAACAACATAACTCTACACCTTGTGAGGAGTTACTTGGGATTGTCTCCACTTCCACTAAAGATGGAAATTCTTAAAGAGCCTCTGCCCTCCTTCAGAACTTCTCCGAGATTAGGAAACACTAGGCACATGAACCAGTAATTACTTCTCCTCTCCTGCCCAGGGTGCTCCTCCCACCTGGGGCTATTAGCCTGATCAAATCAAGCAGTAGGCACAGCATCTGGGATCTGGTCACAGCCTACTGTGGTTTGACTCACTGAATGCCAAGCATTCTCAGATGTTTCAAAGATTACTTCCCAAAGGAAGTTCCTATCTTGGAACAATTTTCCAAAGGACTTAGTAAATAGAAGTCTGTTTTCCCCAAGAAATCAAGTACTTCTCAGGTGTCTCTGGCACATACTAGAAACCATAGCAAGGAAAAAAATAGCAGTGTTGCTTGTAGAACTTAATCTGCTCAAATGCAACACTAGTCCATAATAGCTAGGCAAGCCTGCATTTCTGGCACAGAATCCAGGATGAGAGTTTCTGTTTGCTATATAGTGTAGGTCAGCTCAGCACCAGAAACCTTCAGGATTATCCTCACCTACACAGGATTAATCCTGTACATTTACAGAATTATGCACTGCCAACAACATCTAAAGATCCAACCTCGCAACAGCAGAAGGAATGTCTAAGACGTAAGCTCAGTTTTGCATGTTCCAAGCAAAAGGGCTTTCCCCTCCCCTCTTCCACTGTTCACTAGGTCTCATATAACTCTCACAGCTCCCACATTTTTCCCTAAGTGTGCTCCTTGCCCACTGCTACACCTTGTAACCCTACATCTGCCCTTGGATTTCCAAACAAATCTGATTGTCTTCCTTCCTACTGTACTCAAACTGAAGGAAGACTCCATGCCTTCCCACATGTATCTCCACTCCATTTGTGCAGACAGTTGTCCCATGCCCCTAAAGCACAACAGAGTAGCTACATAGTGCCTATCAAACTCATTCGTCAAAGATTTTCATAGTTCACCCAACCAAAAGCATAGTTCTAGATTTTCAGGCTAACATGCCAAGCAAGAAGCATTGCTGTTCCTTGGAAAACATCTATTTTGTGTCATAGCAGTTCACCCGAATGGCTGGCTATCTGAAATAAAGTTTCAGGTTCCTACTTCATGGGGAGGTGCCCTTACAGACAATGACAAAAATAGATGTCGCTGCACTCTGTTGAATTGTTTGCAAGTTTCGCTTGGCTGTGACTCAAGATCTCTGACAATATGCTACAGACTGGCAGGATGGGATGGGGAATGTAGCCTCCAAATATACGGCTTTCACATACTGTTGGTCCTGCATCACTCAGATCTCCTCCACAAGCTAAGAAACAGCTGTTTTGCCCTGGCTAACACTATGTTAGAAGCAACAGCTCTTGGAAAATACAGGATATGTAAAAGCTTGGAACACGATGCCATTGCTAGGAGAACAAGAAAAGGTCCCAATGACCTTGTATGAAGTTTGTATATTTTCACGCCTCTCTTCTTCCCTTGAAGCAGCTATTCTTCGCCTTTTCTGAGCTAAATTGTTTCCTGAAGCTGGGCCAAGAGAAGAACTGCACAGCATTTGCCTTCTTTTGCCTTGCTTGGAACTTCCTGGGTTTGCCACAGGTTTATTCACTACAGAGAACAGCACAACACAACAACTATGACAGGTTTTCCTCTTTTTCACTACGGCCTCACCCCTGGTTCTGTTTCATAGCGAACTGGTTGTACTGTTGTCCCATCTGCATGAATCTCAAAGCACTTAACAGATATGCATAGAAGTCTCCTCCCAGCATCTTCTGGGAGGTAAAGAAAGTGAAATTACCAAAGCTGGTAATCTCATAAAATCAATTTGATAATTTAACATATCAGTCTGCATACAGAGGGAAGATGAATGAAGAATTAGAGACTTGCTGTGGTAATCTGACCTGCATTGTATTGAAGTCCTGACTACAGATCAACAGTGGTCTCTTCTGGCACTATAAAAAAAACTGACTTGCCTACTAAACAACACTATGTAAATTTCCACTGTTTTCCTGGGTTATTTTTCTTCCCTCTCCCCCAATAACTATTTCTAGTGGCTGTTATCAAATTCAATATCTGCTGACTAAAAGGCTCCTCTAGGGAGGGGCTCTAATAACTGTCTGTGGAAGAACAACAACAGAATCTAGGGTTTTCAAAAGATCCACGTTCAAAGCCCCACATTCATTAAAACTTCTTAAAGCTGTAAGAATCCACTGAATACTAAAGTGCTGTTTGAGGAATAAGGTATTTCACAAGGTGAGAAGGGACCTCAACTTCTGGTGCATATTAAAGAGAGATTTTGTTCTTCGTAAGTCTAAACACAAAGCTGAGGCAATACATGTTCCTTTGGGTAAGCTTGGAGGGCAAGAAACATCTGTCTTTTGTACCATTACTCTAACCCATTGTGTGACCCCACAGCTACTTCTCTAGTATAACAACTATTATTGCATTAAAAAGCTACAAGAGCACATGCTCTATGGCCTGTTCTGTCATTTTCCTAACATCCTAGTTTCCATGAGATAGAAAGCTAGAGACCCCTGTCTTCAAAGATATTCAGCAGTTTTATTTCAATTAGCTCTGAAAGATCTAGGTCCACCTGGCCGTATATGCTGCAGAAGCACACCCCTCACCCTATTCACACCTGCTGGAGATTTATTCTGCTAAAAAAAAGAAAAAATATTTGCTGATGTTATAAAGCATTATTCCATTGTGAAAAACAGATCATAATGCAAGGGAGAGAGGAAGGAAGAAGAAATCTAAAGCAGAGATAATACAGCCAGAAACAAATGTGTTCTTGGAAGCTTCCAGTTTTCCAAACTAGAATACATACAGTCAGATTCTCTCGGAACAAGCCATGGGATTTGACTCTATGCTGCTAGTGAAATTCAGCTGCATAAATGCAACACCATGGACGTTCTGACATGTAAGGTTTCAGTCACTGTCAGTTCCCCAGATGAACTCAGATAAGCAAGTATTCACTCTCATTAGCAGCTGCAAGTTTCTCAGTATTGCTATTAAACTCCCTAGTTCTTACCAACCTGTGCTTGATGACAGAATCCCCATCTGATCACCCAAATAACAGGAGGCAAGCCTTTCCAAAATATGACGAGACCAGCATATTAACAGAATCACAGATGTAGAAACTGTGGGTGATCTTGGAGCAGTCTTGTCTCATCTCAGACTACCCCACCATCTGGTAGCACATTGGGATGTCTGAGATAGTATGATGTGACCTGGGCAGAAGGGGACTCACAGGCCAGCGAGGTCCTGTTTATCTCATTAACCCTGTACTATTTCAAAGAGCTCTGCAGGATTATTCAGGCTCATCCAATGGCCAGGACTCCAGTTTTTTCAATGACGTGACATGTGCATGTGGGTGGACAGTGCACTTGTTGCCCCCAAACAGATTACACTCAGATGTGGTGAAGTGATGAGCTGCTCAGAAATGGTTTACTTCAGCAAGGTCTCAAGGGTGCATTGGTAACATCTTCTTTTAGTACGTGATTGAAAGGCTCGAGTATCACAAACAGCCACGGTGCAGAATTATCACTAGGGGGTGACTCTGAGAACGAAGTAAAAAAATCTAAGGTCTCAGGTGCCAATAGTGCTGCTTCTGACACTTTTCACCACTGCCGCCTCCACCTGTCTACAGTCTTAATGGTGTCTAATGTGAACACAGAGGCTCAGCCAGTTCCAAGCATGAAAAGCTTAAAATACTAATTGTTTTTTAAATATCCCTTCAATTCTTTCCTACTTTAAGTGACTGCAGATCCACCTGGAATAAAAGAATCCACTTTTGAGATTTCAGTGAAACCTAAAAGGTGAGCAGATCATTTTCCTTCCTTAAAAATTTTCTGCAAGACTCCTAAAGTTCCACAAACACTTACGCTTTAGAGTAATTCAGAATGAAGTCAATTCCTTTCTCATTGTCAAACTGGATGTCACGAGGCAGATCACTGTGAGAATGGGCATCGATGCTCAGGGGAAAGCCAGGATGCCACTCCTTCCAGCTGAGAAAACAAGAGAGGTTGGATTAACCATATAACCTTACCAGCACAATAGTTGTGTCATTCCTTTACCTACACTGCTTCTGTTACTCAACTCAATCAAGTAAATTTGCAGAAGACTTGTTTGGGCCAAAAATAGTGGCTTATACCACATCAATACGTACTAGTACCCTACAGAATCCGGAAGTACAACAGAAAGCATCTGCTTGTCCACCTACCTTCACAAAACTTGAAGTAAGTTAATATCTGTGATATTTCCAAACACTTGTCACAGTTGGTTGAAATTGACAGTAGCTTCAAACGTGTTTGGAGGGGAAGGAGCAGAGAGACAGACAGGTGCCCAGTGTACAGTCTTTCTTGGGGCTACATTTTTGCAGACTGAGATACAGCAGTTAAAAGCACTCAAACATGTATTTAATTTCCTCCAAAAGGCAACTCTATGAGAGACATAAACAGTCTTGATTCAGCTCCTCAGAAGAGCCTTACCTCCTAATGGTCATGGCATATGTTCTCTGCCATCTATGTTCTTGCACTGTGCCCCGTTTTTACTTCAAAACAAAAGAAGGCAATTTGTAAAGAGTACAGTTTCAATGGTATTTCCAAATTGCTTGCCACACACAGAATGCATTGTGTGTTATCAGTTATGCATCTGAATTTTAAATAGCTATTTCTCTGGAATTACAAATGGTTTCAGCTTCCTTTTTGCATACATAAATAAGATTTTATGCCACACCTCTTTTTGAACTACATTTTCCTCAACTCTATTTCCCATAATTTGTAAGCAAGATCCTTTCTCAGTCAAACAATATCAACAATACACACACAAGCCTCAATCCATCAATTCTGAATGGACCCTCTTGTCCTTCTGATCCTCATTCTCATGATAAGGAGACTCAAGTGCAAGAAACTTCTGTTATTTCAACAGAAAGTACATCTCTAGGAAAAGGAAATGTCTAATATCTTCTGGAGTTACCCATTGATAAAAGACAGCATTTTCCCATTGTGACCTTGATTAGGAAAACATGTCTATGACAGTATAAAGGTGGGTCTCACAATTCCGTTCTGATAACACATTCCAATCCACTCAAATAGGGCTAGATCTTCCACTGCACCCCTGCACAGGAAACAACTAAAACTAGCTTGCTTCAGCAGCCAAAAAGAGCCGGTAAGAGCTGACATGTTCAGAACATGTTCCAAACCTGGAGAACTGATTGTAAAAGGCAAATGAAATCTGTCTTCAAATCATCCTTGAAAGCACAACTGTGTATCAGAGGGCCCACACGAGCCTGTACCACTGAATTCCACCTGAAGTCTTCCAGACAGGCTTATCTGGGATTCAAGTATCTCGTAATGCCACTCACAGCAGGATGATGATCACTCACAGTGAATTCCATCTCAGTAAAAAACATAAACGGCCAACATGGTGACTTACCCTTTATCTTACCCAGGAGTCCAGTAATTACAGTAATATGACAATCTGAACATACTCTGCTAAACTGTGACTTCATTAGAACAAGCCCTGGACCTTTTGGGGAGCTACGGGAAACTCACCGGTACATTTTCTGACGTGTCTCAAGCTCTTTGCGTCTGTGCTGCTTGAGAATCTGGGTCTTGTCATCCCTGGGGAGCTTTGCTGTGAAACAAGAAAAAGAGAGCGGGTTACGAGGTTCCTCTACCTATCACTGCCCAGGTCTTGAGGAAGAGAGCAAAGTTTTTAAATCTTCATATTTCTGATCTGTACCTTCACAAATTTTCTGCGGGAAATGCTTACACAATCCACTTTAGTACCTTGAGTTGAAACACAGGTCCATAAAGGATCTGTGGAAGGAGACAAGCTCCTAACTTTGTGCCTCCAAGGGGCAATTAGCTCAAGTTAGGAACATCTGCCTCAACTGTATATAAAACCTGGATTCCTACTGTAGACACTTGCTGTACCTGTCTAGTGGAATGGGAATTAATTTTACATTTCAGTATGTAAGGTAATTTTCATCAATAAGAGAAATTGCAACTTTGTTCCAGCTAATCTTCTCTGATAAAAGACATCTCCAGGAAACATCTCCTATCCTCTCTCCTTGAGCTGCACTCTCCCCTGTCAGCTTCAGGCAATAATCATATCTTCTTGAGAACAGAAAAAAATACCAGTGAGGCTTCATTTCCAGACAGCTTGCTCTTCTGACCATGTATTCACTACACCATTAAATAACACAGAGACTTCCTTAGAGATCATACAAAGGGCAAGGTACATGACCCACTTTACATACACAAATGGGAAGGCAGATAAAGCCAGCAGGAGTTTCATAGAAATAGCTGTTTGGGGTTTGGAGTTGGAAATATCAGAGGTAATACAACTGATAACGTACATGGCTAACAGTTTCCAGATGGTTGTGTTCAAGTTACCCAAAGGGTTTCTCTTGATTTTGCCCCTTACCTCATCATACTCTGAAAGCCACACAAAGCTGCTTTCCATGGAAGTGTTACAGGTGTCCTAAATAAAATTATGAAAAATGGAAAGTCCCTCTGAAGACCAAAAATAAACCAACACATAGTTGTGATTATAGGACAAAAAGCTTCAAATGCAAAATTCCTCAACCAGGAGTAGCCAAAAACTTAATGGAAGATAAACATTTCATTCCTACCACTTCATGCATTGTTTCAGCTGTTTTCCGGCGCTCCTGCTGCAGACCACTACAGCAGTTAGCCTACCCTAGGAAGCACAGAGGGGAACAAGCCAATGTCAGTGACAAATGTCTGCCCCAACCCTAACCACACCAAGCAGGTCATCAGAGACAGTTAAACCATGTTTCAGGTCCAACAGGCCACTCTCAACAGAGCACAGATTCTCAGTTGGTCACCACTACTTGCACCGGTCATATCCACTTCACCCTGCCTTCTCCTAGGCTTGACAGCGTGCAGAGAAGGGGTGAAAAGTCAAGCTGCTGTTTCAAGTCAGTCCTTGCACCCACTTCGGGATTTTATTTTACTTTTATTTTACTCTCAAGAAAACAAAACAATTTACAGGCAATTAATAATGGGTCACTTAGGGGCTTAGTATGAATCAGAGACAGGACATTAATGCTATCATATCAAAAGGGCTTCCAGCAATGGAGAACTGGAGCACACAAAAATTTGGCATTAGGGTCAGCCTTCAAATTCAAGACCAGTGTAACAAGCCAGCATAAGGACTCTTCCTTGCAAGTGCTTCCCAAAATATCCAACTCAAATGCCAGTGTCCAACCCATCAAAATGCTCAGAATGCAGTCCTAGTCAGCAAGGAGAGCCCATTCCCTAGGATGCCAAAGGGGACTGGCAGTGGATCTCCCATGAGAGAGAAGATTGGGAGGTGTACGGGGAAAGGAGAAGGAGAGGTGGAAGAATTCAGGATGCTCCACAGCAAATTAGGTTTCTTATGGCTCTCACCTCTTCCATCTCGAAGGACAATCTCTTTTTCATCTGTAATCCAACGGTAACATGGGAACTCCAAATAGTCACCCATTGGTGTTTTTACAGTGATATACTTCAGGTACCAGTCATCCTGGTACCAATATTTTCGCTTCTCAATTTTTATTAGCTGAATTTCTCCAAGGTCTTCTTCCACAGTCACATCATAGGAGTCAACCTACAGAGCAGAATACAATCAATGATCCAGTGCACACGCAGAAGCACAACCAGCACTACACAAGCGTACCTGGCCCTTCCTGATACGGCATGGGCACAACAGCATTTTCCAGCTTCAGGTGGGTGAGAAAAGGAAGACCTGTTATTGGTCTGCAATGCAACAGAAAGAATAAAAGAACAAATAAGAATACGCAAGGAACTCCAGAAATGGAGAAACATTTGTGTATGCAACCTAAAAATGATATTACTCCTTGAAATCTCTGCAAGTCTGAGAAAAACGTGCAGACAGTGAAATCATCTACTACTCTCCTAGCACTAGTTGAAAGAGGTATCACTAGGGCACATCTATTAATGCAACTGGAGTGGAAAGATTATCATGAGATTAACACATTGGACTAGGAATTAAACGACCTGTGTGTTTGAGTCATAAGTTTGTCAGATTGAGGACAGTATCCAGATCACCTAAATTCCCTTTGTCTTGTGCTTCCTGTGGCTGATCTTCTTCAGTTCTCCATTTTATAAATGAGGACAATGACACATTTAATGTTTGTATGGCTCAGATATACAAAGGAATTTAAGTCGCTAACTGAAAACAAGGTTCACAAGAACCCCATCTAGCTCTGGAAGCACTTCAGTGTATTTACGCATTCAGCCTTTCACAGAAAACAAGCCAACATGTGGAAATGTGGTTTAGCTCCTTCCTCAGTTGGGAGTTAGCTCAAAGGCCTGACTGCTGCAACACAGAGGGACCTCAGCCCAGTCTTGCACAGTAGCTAGCCTGTTTAGTCCTCTCCCATGCTAAGGGTCTGGTCACAGGGACCTTGCACTCAGCTGGTACTGAAGGCTAAGACTACCCACACCTGCTCCTTCAGGAGTACCCTCATCAGTGGCCTAGAGACATATGCCCCTCAAACCTTGAGTTATTCACCATGCAATGATCCAGTCCTGGTGCTGCCCCTACACCAAGGTTTGACTTAAGTGCCTCGCTAACTTGCCTAACAAATTCAGGACAGTGAACACTTATCCTGGAGATGGGTACTTCAGTCACCTAACAGGGCTAACCTTTCAGGGCTGCATGCAGTCTCTTGCTGCATGTGGGGACATCACCCAGCAAATGACAGTTCTGGTGGTACTTGAACTATTAGCTAATACCAGCGTATGAAGAAATGATTAATTGTTTCAAATATGACTAGTAAGATACTATGTGGTGCTAGGCAATTTAGGAGAACAGGAATTGACTGTCACTTTACAAGACCGTAAACAGCTTAGGGAAAATGGAAGTAGCCATGCACTCATCATAGTTGAATTGGCTATGGCAACCACAGGACCAGCCACCAAAGCCGCCTCTGCTCAGACGATCCTGCTAAGCTTAATGTGGTTACAAGTAGAGACTTCATTCTCTTGTGGTTTTTCTCAACACAGTCAACAATCTTAGAAACCAACTGTCTGCTGATATCAAAAGGATGAGGTATTGCATCCACATGCTGCAGTGCCTGTAGAGACTCACCCACCCTGTGTGAGCTTTGTCACTGGGCTCCTGACCTAGACACCACATCGTGCTTGCTCTTCTCAGGAGTGCTTTCTTTGCCTTGCCCAGGCATGTGATACATGCCCACTGTTACTGTCTTACTTGCTAGGGAAAGGCTAATTCACATAAGGACCAAAACTGAAAGAGAAGAAAGATTAAATTCCAGACAGAAGAAAAAAAAAGTAATTTTTAAATGCTTCCAGATGGCACTTATTATTTCAACTAATAGAAAAGAAAGATTCCTAACAACTTGTACCCACGTGAATGGAAGGACACAAATAAGAAGAATCACTTGGCAGCCCTTCATCTCCCATTTTAACCCAAGTTTACCACATTATTGATGCAAAGTACCCTTTTCTATAAGTTATCCATGAATTACCAACTGTGAAGATCATTTTGGGATGAAGACATCTATCTGTCCACCAAAGTTTGGGATCACAGACCTCAGTTCTCTCACAACCCATCACATAAATATACCAGCTTTCATAAAGTTTGTCACATCTAATTGACTCATAGAATCCAGAGAAAAATAAAAAACCCTTTAGGCTTTGAAGTCCATTCTGCAGACAATGAAACATTGTCCTTGCCTGTCTTTCCCCAAAGATGTTCTTCAATCAACTTCAAAACTGTTCAGGCCATGATCCCTACATCGCAACTCATATGATGCTGTCTCATGCTAACAAGGATATTGGAATTTCTTCGAATCTGCAGCCTAATTTAACTTTAGGATCAAATATTTACAATGGGCATGGACAGTGCTTGTTTTGGTTTGCTGAGACTTAACAGACTAATCTTAGTCTGAGCTATATTCTCCCTTTGCCTATTAAAGGAAAAGACATTGAGCCGTTTCTTTTAAAAAAGATGCCCATCATGTCTTCAATAAAAATTTGCAATGTTTATGTCAATAGCACACTCATACACACCAGGTGGTAATAAACTGCTTCAGAAATAGCATGGTGGTCCTTGGCAAGCTTGGGATGACAGCATCTGCCTGTTAGGATGTGAGCTGAGAGATGAAAATCACAGAGCTGAGATTTCAGCCAACATATTAAAATGGTGCCTGACACTTTTCCTTGGATCTCCATTGCAGAACAGAAATAGTTCTTTCTGTAGAGCAAATAAGTGTACTAATTTTGAACATTATTTGAAAGCTTATGTTGTTGACTCTTCAGCCCCTCCACCCCCCCACACTATCCCAGAACAGTTAAAAGGATAATGCATAAAGGTAAATTCATTCCATTGATGATTTGTGATTTTGAAACAGCTGTACAGACTGAAAAATGTTGAGTGACTTTTCTCAGAATACCCATTAATAGTGCCTTGAGCCACAACTATGACAGTGAGTGACTGTAGGACATAGCCCTGCGCTCCTGGCTAAGTGAATGGAGATTCCTTGCTCCCACAGTGCTGACTTTAAACACCACCCTGATCTCTGCCTATGACCCCATGGCCAATATTCTCGGCTTTGCTCTTGTCAATCGGCACAAAGAATTCTGGATGATGGCTAGAAAATGTAGATCATGTCCAGATTATTTTCCATTCTTCAAATCTTCTTTCCAGAAACAGGCAGTATTCGAATCATTTCTCTCATATTCATTTTTCTGCGACTCCTGGTTTTCTCAATAAAAACAGTGTCAACAAACTCTTCACCAGGCTCAGGTTTCACACTGAGTCAGTGGTTCTGCAATTTTGTCTGTCTTTCCAGGACCAGACAGCACTTTGCAGAAGAGTCTTTGTCAAAGACTGTCATACCATGTACCTCAAACTCAGCCACTTCCTGCTTATGTACCTCCTTATGCAGTTAGAACACAAAATGAATTCTCTCTTTCAATTTTACCGTGATCCTACTGCGTTTGGCAGTCCTGAGCTGGAAGTAACCACCTTGCAGAGACACTGTCCAAATGAATCCACAAACCTGTGTGAATTATTACACATTTGTGTTCATCACTAGAAATGGCATTTAATCACATAAAGATTAATGCAACAACCTACAGAAGCAAATGATAAACTGCGTCTAGACCAGCTTCACTTTGTATTCAGCTATTTGGGATTTTTAGGCTCCATCTTCTTATATCCAGTTCCAGGGATAGTCGTGTACAGAGGAAGAAGGAGGTGATCAAAGACACTGTCTGGATAGGGGAAACATACTGCATTATTTTTAGCGTAAGTACTCACAAAAACCCACTGCTGTCAAGTGATGAGTATGGCACAGAAAGTCTGAAATTAGTCTTCTTTTCTCACCAACTCCTTGTTGCCCAAGGTACCCGACTACCCTTTTTTTTAACCTATGTCCTTTAAAGGTTCAGCTAACAATTTCATTTAAAAAAAAACTCATTTACACTCACATATTTATATAGTTCCTATAATGTCACATCTATCTATATATATCTCTCAGATTTAAATTAAAGAGCAATATGAATGATATCAAAAGAGTTGATAGAAATGTCACATTGACAGCCAGTCCTTTGGAAGAAACTCATTCCTTTGGTAACAATCTCTTTGCTAATATTAAAAGAGCCTTAAAATAGTTACACAAGTCACTGTCGATGTACTGCAAAAAGGACATTCAATTAGCCTAAATGTTCCTGAAGGTTTTAACTGTTTTATGACCATCACAGTTCCCATTTCAGTGGCACTTCTGAAAGTGAGGGCTCTCTTCTGATGTCTCACCCAGCTTTTGCTGCCTCAAAGCCAGTGACATCATGAGCTCACCTGAGATTACAATTTTGCTAATGCAATAAAGGTATATCGGTTACAAAGTAGGTACAAGGTCCAGGCAAGAACTGACAGTCAGCTGCTCAAGGTTTCTATTGCATTTGTCACATGAGGTCTCCCAGTAAACACATGGCATCCCTGATGACTCCACAGTAAGCCAGAGATGCTACAATTAATTTCAGAGTGAAAGAACAGAATTAATGAAGGCTGTCGGACTGTCCAAACTCCTGTAGCATCCTTCCAAGTAACTGAATCTCATGCAAAACCTAAGCTCTTTTTGAGGAGACACTCTGACTGAGTAGCCTAATACTGCAAAAAGGATGACGGAGACAACCCCTCTTTCTATAATCACAAAGCCCTTAAGTGGAAAGTACTGTATTTCCCTTCTGAAAATATCGGTGAGCGTGTGTCTTTCAGTAACAGCAAAAGGCAGATGAAGGGGTAACAGGAAGAAAACAGAGAACTGAGCGACACCATAACACTTGCTTTGAAATCATTCTGCACCAACAGGAACTTACTCAAAAGACACTGAGTAAAGAAAAGCAGCTGTGGCTTTCTAAATTGCCTGTGTCCAGTACTTGGAGTAAGTCAGACAAAACCCACAACTGAGCTACCACTGTGTAAATCCCTTTGGGTTTTTACATGTCCCCTTCCCTCAATCAACATTTGGCATGCAAATGTCCTGCTCAGACCTGCCCTGAGCCCTCCTTCATCATATCTAGTAACATGCACAATTTGCATTAATTCAAAAGAAGCCATTATCAGGATAATGGAACTACTGAGCCTGGCCCAACATCTAGAAAATAAACTGGAAAGCAGACAAAACCTTATAAGATAATACTGTAAAACTCTGGTCATCCATTGAAAAAGTGCACTTTTTGCAAGTGTGTTCACAATTGAATTGCTTTGCTGAAAAATAAAATTATAGGGATGCTATTGAAAGAAACACTAAAGGCAGAACCGTGAAACCAGTTGCTACATTCTACAAACCAACTAACCTGGAAGTCTGTTGGCCTGCTTCAGTTTTATTTTTTTCATTCTGTATTGGTATTTTTCTTTTCTCTCCTTCTTTCTCTGCACAGCATGGTAAGACTCACAGTGTTTTGGACACAATGTCACCTGAACAGGTCCCTGGAGAAATGCACTGCACTCTCCAAGAGAACCTCCTCAACAACAAAACTTAGCACATTGTACTGCAAGCGTTCAACGAGCCAGACTCTTTACGGAACACAGAGTTGTTCTCATTCTCCACAATAAATACACGCTGAAAAAAATGACTGCATACTGGAAGTGTCAAACACACAACAATGAACAGAAATAATTAATTTGGATAGGAGATAAAGTTGTCATCTGGATTTAGTCAAGAACCTTCACACTTGGAAACCAGTTTCACAAAAAAAGAGACAGTCTTTCTCTCAGAAAACTTAACTTAGCTAACAATGCATTTTATATAAAATGTTAGGACTTAGGTGAAGACTTTCAAACATGCCTAAAAGCTACATTCCTGAGGAGAATGAAGTACTCTTTTTAGGTGCAGACATCCTCTGCTGTAGTGCTACTAACATCCACAAACTTCGTTCATTTCTTCCTCACCCAGTGGGGTCCGGTGCTTGCAGATAGCTCTGCTCCTGCTGGACCTGGTCCTGCAGCAGTACAAGAGTTGCTGCTGAGCATATATCTAATACCCACATCATGGCATCTTCTCCCTGTGAAAGGATCCAGTCCAATTGGATGTTCAGACCACTGCCAGCTCCTCCATCACAGCCACTCCTCAAAGAAAGTGAAACCCTCTTTTGTAGCCCAGGGATAAGAGCAAGCTGCCTGGTTGCTGGAGACCCTGATGTTTATCTCCTCAGCGAGGAACAGCTCACCCCTCGAGAGAGAGAACTCTAAGTCTGAGATCTTCTTCAACCTCTCTTCCTAATGTTGTTAGGCTTTGCTTACCACCAGTGACTGTTCACTGGAGAAGAGAGAAAGAATGACTGGATGTCCATTTGGGAGGTTCAGGTAACAAGGTTCTAAGCTAATGAACATTTAGTCATCATGAACGAAAGTAACTTCAACAGCAGTAAGGCCCCATGCCTGAACTTGCTGGAGCACCTCCTCAGAACACAACCTATAAACATCTGTGGACCACATCTACACATGCTATCAACACTTAGTCAAAACGCTGACTTCCGTTAACCATATCTGAGATGTCTAACACAGAAGAGACCGGATACCTAACTTAGGCTGTGAATCCCATGATTAAAGCAACACACCTACAGGCAAAGCAGCAGCGTGACAGTGAAATCTCACTTGTATATGCAGTG